AATAAGAATTTCATACTTTATTTTGATATTTTATGTTACTGTTAACATTGCTTAAAATAATAGGAACCTCCTAAAAAACCAGGAAAACCAGTGAAGGCAACAATGTCCCACAAAAAGGTCCAGAGAGCAAAGCACATGTGCTGTCAGCATGAGCAGGTGTGTGCACAGAACCTGCCTTTGTCATTTGTGAAGACTGCCTTAGCTGTGATAATTAAAGGTTATTGTTGCTATAGAGTTAGATTTGTATTTTAATTGTAATTCAGAAAGAAATTTATTTCTTTTGTTATTTTTTAGACTTTGTACACCAAAAGTGTTAAAAATGTTAACTTTTTATTAATACTCAGTATTAAAAATTTAATAATTTACTTTGATTTTTTTCCTTTTTAAATTCATTGTTTAATATAATAAAACTCATAAACTTAAAATCAATAATTCATCAACAAAAGTATTCTGAAGAACAAAAGTGGGCATTGTATTTCCAGCACAATGCTCTTTTAACACACAATTGATGCCTGCCCTTGCCAGAACATTCCATGGCATCGGTGTGAAGGCACTTCCTGTGTGAAAGACACCACAGTGTCTCTTCCTTCATAGGAAAGAAGTATCTATGGACTCCAACCAAAGCAAATGGGTGAAGAGCATCAGAGGACCTCTGGTGCCTCTGTAGAATAGAAGTTTCTCCTACACATACTCCACAGTGCTGAGAGGGGACAGAGTGCTCCGGAACTATTTTAGAATTCACGTGGTTGAATTTGATACTCTGTGAATTACTAAGTGATAATATAATAATAGTACAAATCATAGCCAATGTTCCTTGACTGTTTTAGATATGTTTCAGTTATATGCATAGATCATCTTGTTTAAACCTCATCATCATATTGTGCAGATTCTATTATTTCTCTTCTATAATTGAGAAAACTTTGGTTCAAAAAATTTATGTATTTTGTTCAATTCCAAAGAGCTAAAAATGAGCCTGCTTAAATTTAAACCTGGAGTTCCTAAAGAAAATTATGGGAGCTTGGGGGATAGTTCTGAGGTCTAAGTGCCTACCTGGCAAGCACAAGGACCCAGGTTTGATCCCCAGTACCCCATGCCATGCTGGCCACCGAGAAGGGGTGTGGTGGTACACGCCTGTACTCCCAGTGTTGGAGAGGCTGAAACAGGAGGATCACTAGGAGTCTGAGTTGCGTAGTGAGACCCTGTACCAGATAAATAAATAAATAATTTTTTTTAAAAAGAAAATTATGTTAACATTCTACTGAACAGAGGACAAAATGCCAAAATATGGGGAAACTAAATGTCATTACTAGAGCCATGTCTATGTGTTTATTTGAACCAATGTGTTATTATTCTGAGATTTGACTTCTTGGAAAATTTATTGGTTTGGAAAGGAAAGAAGAAAATTACTATTTCTTGGACCTCTGCAGAGAATATCCAGTGCTGTATATGAGTATTTCCTTAATGGAGTTACACAACTGCTTGTAAGCCACAGGCCAAAGGACTAATCAGTCATGTGCTCACTGCACACCTACTGCCTGACTACCTCACATCCACTTGCCTTGAACACCAAAGCAGCACATAGCTGCGCGTCCTGACTTAAAGAATGATGAGCCATTATAAAACACAGGAGTTCTAGCTGCTGGTCTCTTTATTTATTTATTTATTTATTTATTTATTCATTATATTTTTAGGCAAGGGTCTACAGGGTGTTCAGGGTCTCACTACTAGATTGGACTTGTTGTGATCCACCTGTTTACAACCTCCTAAGAGCTGGGATTACAGGCATGCGCCACCATGTCCAGTCTCAGTTGCCTTTTCAGCGTGCTGCGAGGGCGGGGTCAGCAGGGCAGGCCCAAGGATCAAACCCCTGGCTGCTGCTTGCAGGCTCTTCCTCTCTTTCTCTCTGTCTCTGTCTCTATCTCTCTGTCTCTATCTCTCTGTCTCTCTCTCT